GCCAGCACAGAAGTGAGGGCCTTCATTCCTCTCAACCAAGTCATCGCTTGGCCACCCCTCCTTTTCTTCCATGCACATCCCCGGTGAGCAAACAACCCACGTCGTGGAAGTCGATGGGCTGGCAGGTATAACACGTGGCCGAGCCATCGGAGCCTGGTGCATGAAATAAAGGTGCTGAGCGGTTCAGTTCCTTTTCCTGTACCGTAAACAAGGCGTCGAACACGCTCGTTACTCACGCGGTGTTCCCACCAGATGTGAGCCAAACTGCGAAGGCACCGATGGTCGAACGTAACTAGCCTCTTCATGTCCGCCGATCTTATGGGCCAGGTTTCACAACCGTACAGTAAGGCCGAACGTACCGCTGCATTGTGTACTCTAACCAGGGCGAGAGTAATGTCGCGCCGCCGCTATAGGTGGCGAAGGTTAGCAAAAGCACTTCGAGCTTTTGCTATACGGTTCGTGATCTCGTCTTCGATCCCAAGGGCGCTGATACAACTTCCCAGGTAGTTGAATTTCCGAATGACTTCCAGCTGATTCCCACCAAGGGTCAGCGCAAGAGGCGATCCCTGCCAATCTTGGAGGAACGCTTTGCATTTCGATGGTGCAAAGCAAAGCCCGAAGCGGCTGACAGCCAGTGCTAATCTGTCCAGCACGGCTTGGCACGTCTGGGAGCTGTCACGGATGAGGGCAATGTCATCTGCATACTCCAAGTCGAGAAGTCATTCTCCTGGGAGTAGCTCCACACCTAAGTCGTGTCCTGTAACGGCAATCTCCATGACTTCGTCAATAGCGAAGTTGAAAAAGAAAAGTAACGGGGCATCCTTGTTTCACACCGCTGGAGATATTGAAGAGTGGCGACAGCTTGCCGCAAGCCCCCACTCTGCCCGTGTTACGCGCGTATAATGCTCAGATAATATTTACGTATTTCTCGGGCACACCTTTCCTGAGTAGACAATTTCAAAGAGCACATCGATCAACCGAATCGAAGGCACCTTTGATGTCGAGGAACACGACTACGGTGGGCCGCCAATATGTGTGACGGTGCTCCAACAACTGACGCAAGGTGAAAATGTGGTCGATGCAGCCACGACCCCGACGAAACCCGGCTTGCACTTCACGAGCGCCAGTCAGTCTGTGAAGGATTATGGAGGTGAGTAATTTGGAGGCGATGGAGATCAGTCTGATTCCTCTATGGTTGCCGCATTCCGAACGCGAACCTCCTATGAAGATGGGAACAATAACGGAGCGGCTCCAATCGGTTGAGACAGTCTCCTGCTCCCACGGTTTCACTATTGATTCATGTAAAGCATCAACATGAGCAGAGCCTCCGAATTTGAAGAGGGCTGGTGGAAGATCATCTGGTCCCGCGGCTTTGTTCAACTTCAACAGTCCGACCTCACGTTCGACTTCTGAGCGAGAAGGTGAATCCAAAGGGACAGCCCACGGAGCAGGGCGATCACTGGTTAGCCGATTAAATTGCTTTTCAAAATGCTCAGTCCAACGCTCCAAACGTTTTGACAATTTGTGGACAGGCTGTCCACTCTCGTCACGTATTGTTTCACTAACACCAGGTCTCCTGCTGCCCGTTTCCCGTATCAGCCGGAATAACTTTCGATGGTTGCCAAGGGCAGCGGCCACTTCCATCTCTGACGCACGAACAGACCACCAAGATTCGCGGTCTCTCTTCAGGCTAGCACGAAGTTTTGCCCGGAGCTCTTTGCGGGTTCCACCGTGTTCGCTTCCAGCCGGGATATGCCGGCGAGCATCGATAAGTTCTAGAGACTACGAAGAGACCCAATCACCATGTTGGCTACCAGACATACCACATGAGGATTTGCCTGCTGCTAGTAAGGTCTGGTGAACATGTGACCAGTGACCATCAATTGTCTCCAGTGAGCGCTTACTCAACTGGCATGTCAGCGTACTTCGATACGCATTCAGAACAGCTGGCTTTGTCAGTTGGCTAGTGTCAATGCGCTCACAGCGTCGTCGTGGGCGTCCGTCAAAACGCATCCGCATGTCAGCACATACAAGTGCATGAAATAAGGGAGAGCACGTACCTCGAAGGTGGGAAAGTTGCTTCTATATGAAGAACGGAACACAGCCTGCTTAATGGGCAGCAGCCACAAAGCAGACCAGTCTCAGAGCCTGTCCAGGGCATGCTGAATGGCCTCAGAACCCCCAGGGATGTCAGTGACATTCCATAGCTTTGTCATCAGCAAGTAATAGCGATGATACCCCAAAGCTCCCCAGGGAGATCCTTTACATATACGGAGAATGTTAAAACTACTCACTTGCTGCAATTCCAAAACTTGCACTTAATCTATTCCGCATGACTACAAACTGTGGTATACGTGTGAAGAAGAACATGAGGTTGGAACAGAACTTCTATTAAACAACACGTAGACACTATAATAGGAAATCAGTATTGCAAAATGAGGTGAAAGAAGAGTTGCAGTTAACCGTTTTCTTCGGGATATTGTCCGTCTTCTGTAACCGCACAGGAATGGCGCTCTGGAAGACAAACGAGAAAGATGCTGTGAAAGCAACGATTCAAATGCCGTCGCGCACCGCAATGGTCTCGATAGTTCGTTATACCGCACCTCTCTAAATAGACAACGTCCCCGTTGTCACACCGTAGCCCCTTTGAGCCGGTAGTACTATTTCGGACGCTACTTCTGTCGGCGTTTCATCGTGTAGCTCCTCGGCTGAGTGGTCAGTCTCACATCGGAATGGTTTAAGCATATTAAAGTGTACGACTATCGGTTGTCTGACGGGGTTGTTCGATGAAAGATTATTGGTTACGCAACGTAAGAAGCCGTCCATTCGTGATGTAATTTCGCTGACATCGCTAGCGTTGGTGCCTGATGCAAATATACAAGATCGCCTGCCTTCAACGGGACGCCGAAAGCCTGTTTGTCGTTGGGTGTTCGCCAAATGAACGCGTGCAGTTTGATGTGCCTGTCGAATAGAGTCGAGAAGCATGCTCACGTAGTCGGTTACGGACGAATACACGTGCCGCGATATAGGCAGTCGGACGTCTGTAAGTAGCCGAACTTCTTTTCCCGTTCACATGAGAGATAGCGTTTGCCCGGTAGATGAGCGGACCGTACTTCGATAGGTCAACAAGCACTTAGGCAACATAACAGCCCAAGCACAGATTTATTGGTTTACGAAAGTCTTCAGAAGAGAGTTTAACGATTGATTCGTGTGTTCCACCTGTCCGTTATCTTGGGGATGATACGCCTGTTGTCTGTGTCTTGTCAATACCGAGTACTCGACAAATTTCCTGCACCAGCGAGCTTTCCAAACACGACCCTCTATCGGTATGCAGTTGTCTCGGCGCTCCCCACTGGCAAATCCAGTGATTCGTCATTGCTGTTGCCATTGTGACAGTGTTAGCTCACACCACTTGGTGAGTCTACCATGACTAGAATGTATCGGTTTCACCGCGGTGTCTCTTGGAGAGGACCAGAAGTCTGCTCCGACGATCTCGTTCGGAAATCTAAAACGACCGTTACAGGAACCGAGGATGCGCAAATCAAGAATGCGACAGCCTCAACAGATTTGTCGAGAGATTGAAAAACGCTGGTCCACAATACGTCGATGTGATAGCTCAAATAAAAAGCTACACTACCCGTTGACGGCCAATAGAGCGGTCAGCGCGGAACAGTGCGTAGCCAGGCAGATATACTTCGCCATCTCTGATTTCCTCAGACAGCCACGTTTCAGTGGAAGCAAGTATATCTAGACGAGATTTGTTTACGAGCAGACCCACCTCGTGCAGCGTGAAACCTGGCCCCTTAAAGCAACGGACCTGAAGTGGCTAGTTATGTTCGACCACCGGTGCCTTCGCAATTTAGCTCACATCTGGTGGGAACACCGCGTGAGTAACGAGCGTGTACGACGCCTTGTTTACGGCACAGGAAAGGGAACTGAACCGCTCAGCACCGTTATTTCACGCACCAGGCTATGATGGCTCGGCCACGTGTTACGCATGCCAGTCCACCGACTCCCGCGACGTGGGTTGTTTGCGCGCCGGGGGTGTGGAAGGAAGAAGAGGAGGGGTGGCCAAGTGATGACTTGGTCGAGAGGAATGAAGGCCCTCACTTCTGTGCTGGCCTCGGTTGGAGCGTCTCGGCTCCCTGGTTGGGGTCCAAAAGACCATGAACAAGTTTGGTTGGACACACTTGCTGATATGGCAAGGAGCCAACCTCAGTGGCGTTCGTGATGAGTTTCTTTGTCCCACCCCATCCCTTTTAGCTTCCCCCTCCAACCACGATCTCATTATTTAGCCTTATATAATTTTGAATGGTAATTTTTTCTGATGCATATTAGCCGGCTGGTAGCTTACCGGAACGATGCCCATCCGTTACCGGTAGCTCAGCCGGCATGCACCAGTTGCTTTTTTCTCCTTCTTTCTATGTATTGCGGCACAGTAGCTGAGGTGTTCCCCACCTCTGGCTAACGTGTATGATGATGATGATGACCTCGTGCAGCTTGTTCCTCAGGTTACGCACGTTACTAAGTACTACTTGGAGGACTTGGGCACGACCAGACCTGGGTCGTGCGCAAGTAGAATAGGTTCTGGCAGGGCGGAAAATGACTGCCGGCTGGCCACCTGAAAACCCACCAATCGGAGACTTTGCTCGCCAGCTGCACGCCGAGCTATTAGGTTTCTGATGGCTTCCTTTAACTTTAGCCTATCCGATAACGGAAGGTCTGGTTGCACACTAACGTTGCTACCTTTGAGCTTGAAGGCAAAACGCAGTAAGGCCCTGTTCTCTTCTGGGTGGAGAGAACCACTCCAAGCAGACGGGGTAGAGGATTTCGTTGGCCAACCGGAATGTTCTCCAACTTGATGAGCTTCTTGACAGTAACGCCAGGGAAACCTGGTGGTAAAAGCCTGGTCACGCAAACTTTAAACCAACCAAGATAATCAAGCATGCACTGGGTGGGAGGAGCGGCAGTGGATTCAGTGACATTTCTGAAAATCACACTGCTATGTGTAAGAATCGCCCCGACGAGGTGTATTTACTCCACATGCTCCACCATCCATGCCACATGGTTGTTTGACAAGAATCGACGGGATCGAAGGCGACGGTACCTCGTCTCACTGATGGAACTGCAACACCAGGTAGTGTTCCCAGCTCAAGCGCTTGCCTCTTGAGCGTTTTATCACCACCCGGTTTGGGGGCGGAAGGTTTGCGCGCTTTCCTTGCCCACTTACGCTTATGCTTTAATGGCCAAGGAGCCCGTGACTCGCCTTCCATTTGGGTAGGGTCAACAATGCCGTCTGAGGCATCTATGTCAGTTATCTCCATGTGAACTGGAGCGTCCGGTAGGATGAACGCCTCTTCAACAGATGGAATGTCAGCAGTAGGACAATCCGTTACAGCGTCCACACTCGCAATATTCAGGGATTTCATAATCAAATCCACTTTAGAGTTGAGCGAGGCAAGCTAGGCTAACGCCTTCTTAACAACTGTGGACTTGGATGCCAGTACTTTGAATTCAGCACAGCTGAAAGCCGGGAGCTTCGCTTTCTGAGCGAAACAATCAGCACATCTGAACAGGTTTTCACTGGATGATAGCATATTGTACTGATTCACTCGGAGGCCGGTACAACTTTTTGTGAGACCAGCGGGAGCAAACATCACACTGCATATCACCACATTAATCCGTAACTGGCCTTAAACAGGCAGAATTGACCAAGCTGCATTTGAATTATCCAACGAGGACGCAAGGGGTTCATCCGCCTCGGTTGTTAGCGAGACGACCATGTTTAAGTGAAAAACAGAGCAGAATTTTAACACACATATACGAACGTAGAACGACCACAATAATAAAGTAAAACAGGGAGCAAAACGGGATTAAAAAAGCATCAGGGAGACGCTGTTCAGTATCGCTTTGATCGATCAAAGATGTTGGATCAGAGGAAATCTGACAATAGTCAAATTTCGCTTCAAGCGCTTATTCAAACCGTTTTCTACAATATTTCAGCTAAGAAGCTCCAGCAGTATATACTGATCGTGCCATATGGAACGCAAAATAGTCGAGTTACCGCGTAGCACCCACAGAGAGGCAAAGTTGTCCTGTGTGGTTTGGTACAGCAACAGTTGTCTGATGCCAATGCGCCTTAAGTGATGAAAATTCGGCGCATCGAATGCGACAGGAGCGATCAGTGAGATTTTGACAGTGCTCTCTATCATCCAATGATACATAAAGTGCTTCGAAGCATGAGTATGTTTGTTATATTGTGAAAGGTGTTATTAATTTGCTAGGAGGTTTTGTAAAACTCATTCTACAGAGTGGTTTAAATGCGATACCTTAGTTAATTATTTTCTTGCTTCTGGCGATATCAGCTATGTTGGATGACTCTAGCGCTTTTCGACGTATCTTTAACGGTCCATATCTCGGCTTGCCAACGATGCTTGAGAATATAAATGATTTCAGATTGAAACAGCGACATAGTTTATTCGTCGGAACTTGGGTAGAGCGGAAGCGTAAGAAAGCGAAACTGGTCAGTTGTTTCCTGAAGGCTACCCGTAACAATATATTAAATTCACATGCGTGCATAGCAACCGATCCCATGCTAGTGGAAAGCGGTGATGGTTTTGTATCCATATAACAAGTTGTTAACGGTTACCGGTGTTATAATGGCATGGCTCGGTTCTCAGTGGTTTAAAAGGAGGATTTTACGAGGATGTATACGCTTGTCCGCGGCATTCACACAATTTTCATGCGGTAAGGCTTGGCTTTATCCCTATTTTCGGCGAATAACAAGTGAACAGGAAAGCGTAGTACTTAACTTGATGCTGACTTCTCGTCTTACCCAGGAGATTCGTGCATCTACGGGCGTTCAATAAAACTTTCTTTAACAAGGCAGGGTTTGTATGACACTGTGGCTCCCTCGTACTGTTGAAATTACGAAGGCAGAGGACGTGACCCAGCATTTTTGGAGCAATGGTCCGCTCAAAATAATGTGTGAAGGAAATTAGATTCGGCGGCTAATTTTTGTCCCAGCATGCTGGATAGGTTGGGGAAATAGGGCGAAGTAAGTTTGGCAGATGCCACCTTTCAGCTAACTTACGAGGTTATATCTATCTCTGCGGTAGTGTTACAGGACGTGGTGAGTTTTCGCCCGGCAAGCGTCCTCCCTATAAATAGCCACAAATAGCTGTTTAACAATACTATGACATGGCGGATGTGACTCGCCACTGAATAAAGTCACTGTCCACAACTACCTAACGGCAAATCGACTAGACTCATAGTTCAACTTTTCCCGACACATGCAAGAACATGATACTCTCCGTTTCACTGCACTTTTAGTGCCTTGACCAGTAACACTACTTACGATTGAACCAAAAGTATCGTTGTGATACACAGCTGCCTGTAAACTTTGATCATGCTTGGTTTGGTGTGTCTCTGTAAATCTGAGAGTAAACTATTTATTTATTTATTTATTTAGTGGCATTGAAGGTTTGTAGACATAGGCGGGCTTGGCATGAGTTTCTAATCTCTGTTGTTGTGGGAGACAGAGGTTAGCTACCAAGAGGCGGTGAACAGTAGGCTTAGGTTGGCCTCCAGAGTAAACAGTGCATGGAACGCTGGTTATGGCTAAGTGTGCCGTGCAGATGAAAGCGTTATGCAAAGCGTTTCCCACTGCCAACCTCGTTTTCTGCCGAGTGTACTTTTTGCGTGATATACAGCGGCGTTGTGCACACCTTCCCTTCTGTAACATGGAGGATAAACGGTCGCTATTCAACACGCTGCGTTCTTTGTTTTATGCACACGACGGTTATACGTAGCACCGTTTTTGGGACATTTCCGTGCGCGGTTGAGTATGCTCCGTCGCACGTGGCTCATAGGGCAGCCGAGCTGGTCGGCGAATTTAATGAGCCACATGATGTTGGTTGGCTGCGACAGCACCAGTCGGGCTGAAAATGATCATAAACATTTGAAGGAAAGCTTAATTGGGCGGTCCACTCCGCTTTACCTGTTTCAGGTAATAGTGCAGCGATGCAGGTGTATTTCGGAGTAGAGGGAGGCCATGCTTGCAAACGATAAGCTTCGTAATTGCAGCGTCGAACAACGTGTCACCCGTGGACGGTTCATTTTGAGAAAGATGTCTTCATATGCCCGTCGACAGTAGGAGCGGTACAGCAGAAGCGTTCGCACTCGCAGTGTGAACCCGGAGGGCAGGTATTGGCTGGCGGATGACGACCGTCTAGGCATGCAGCGTGTGCTTATAGAGGATGGCAGCGCTTGCGAATGTCCCTTCGATCGTCAGTGGAGCCTCCCATATGCACACGTAGTGCACGTAGCTGGTCCACGTGCATACGCAGATGACGTTGCTCTTCGTGGTTGCCGCTGTTTGCCGCCATCGGAGAAGGTTGGAGGGATGGATACGTCGGAGCACACAGCGGTAACATTGACCGTCCCGTAGTCATTGTGTTCTTGACCGCGCAAGCAAGATTCGTATAACACGCGATATGTTTACTGACATGGAGGCATATTGGTTGAGCATGGGCACGGAAGTATTCATCCGCACTATGAGTGGCATGCTTTGGGGAACGGTTGGCGAGGCACACTAATGCCGAAGGATTTGTGCGTTCATCCAGTGTGCAGCAGCTGCAGCAATTATGGTGGGAGGATCTCTTCAGATTCCAAGGGGCGGATGCACATTCGTCAGGGGCTGCTGCCCGAGTGAGGTTCCGGCAACGCTCCTCGTCCTCAAAGCATGAATCTGTGACCCACGGTAACCAATGGGTATCGTGCGGGGAAGCTGAGACTGCGGGGTTGCAGCGTAACGAAAGGGAAGGCATGCATAGGAAAAAATAACCTTTGATACTCTGTGTAATCGATGCTCTTGCTGCCAGCAGCATGGCAGCGGGTTTAACATTCCGGAGACTGAAAAGCACAATCTCAGCTTGCCACTGCACAATTAGGTGGCGTACAAAGGGAGCGACGTGTACGGTGGATGCGGACAGTAGCGCTTGTGCTCTGTGTCAACAGAAGCAGGGCGAATTGCATCCCTCTGAACAATTTGAGTGGAGAAGTTTTGGTGTATGCAGACCATGGTTGCAGCAGGCGTGTACTGTATACCACGGAGAGCCTGCATACCCTTGTGGGAACTGCCGCCCGTAAGTTCAAGTTCACATATATTACGTTTAATATTTTCAGAGTTCCAATTCAGCGTACTTCTAACGGTGATGCTTGAAAGTTCCTTTTATCCTTTCCGCTACCTCCGGCGAGCCTTGACTTTATCCTTTTTAATCCATTAGCTCACCCTGCTTCACCGTTTTGGAGTCATTTTACGTCTGTATTCATGTTTTAAATTTTGCGCAGTTTTCCACTTTAAACAGCGTTCTGCCGCTAAAACCACGGCGGATGCAATCATTTGTCCTCAGTTGAGGAGGCAAATGCAAATAGAGGATATTTCGTCTGTTCTTAGTTACTTCAAGACAAGTAGAGATGTTCGTGTTCAGGCAGTTCCATCGTTAGGGGATAAGCTGAACTTGAAAGGGCAACGAGAAAGTTAACACCTGGCGAAAAGCCGATGTCCAAGTTCTGCGGTTTGCGGGTTTTTGGGTAGGCAGGCAGCGGTCATTTGCTGCCCTATTAGTGCCAGTTCTGGTGGCGCACGACCCCTGAGCTGCACATTTCGAGCACCTTCAGATAGTGCTAAGCAAGGTGCGCAGCCTAAGTCATAATATGTGCTAGATAGGTGTGTTTGTGGATGGCTGAAACCAGAATATACTCGCGTTCACCGAAACGTGGCTGTCGCAGGGCATCACAGAAGGTAGATTCCGTCTGTCTGGCTACGCTCTATATAAACGTGCTCGCTTCGTTGGCCGACGAGACTGGGGCATTGAGCTGTATGCTAGCTGTGGACCTGATGTTTTGCCTTCCTACATGTTTCAGTCAGCCGATGAAACAATCGAAGCTCTGTAGTGATTAGCACTTCCTCGGAGCAACCTGCAGTCGTAATTATGTGTTGAAACCCTGGGAGTGCTTTCAAAGAGTTGCATGACTTTCTTCGGTCTTGAGCAGAAAAAAGGGTGTGTGTTACTGTGGGACTTCAATCTACCGTAAGTTTGCTGGGCAGCTCTTTCTTGCGACTCGGCGGGAGGTACTTTCGGTGCAGATACTCTAGAGCTTACGCTACAAGTATGTCTTTTATTCTCAACAAAGTGAGGCACGCCTTTACAGGCATGATCATTTTGACATAATGATGCATGATCAAGAATGTGCAAAAATCCGATATGCTTGCCATGGCAGTTTGTGTTTGTGTGGGGGGTATGTATGTATGTATGTCAGTGTGTGTATGTGTATGTAGCTGTTTATTTTGTGCTTGCAGTTGTGCTGCTCCAATCTTCAATGTTTGAAATCGTCATCAATATGCGAGTAGGAGTTTGGTGTCCGT